TTCATTTAAAACAACAACAAAGAACAACTTTGGGGTGGCACAGGACCAGGCAGTGTGTCGCAATGTTGGATGGCCTATCAACACGGACTTTCCAAGGGGAATGTGCAAAGACAGCTCAGAGTCTGGAAGTCAGGGTAAGGGTGGAACTAAAGGAATGACTATGGGAATCATCAGCGACTGGTGAAGATACGATGCTTGAGGCAAATGCAGAAAGTGCAATTCTCTAGTGTGGTAGTTATATAATCGCTTGTCAACTTGAGCGGATTGAGTGAAGAGGATTAAGGGGTGGAGTCTATCCTGTCAATCATATCATAGCCAATGAGGTCTCTCTGTGGGCTTGGCCTTCTCCTGAGGATTCTGGGAACTCCTGTCTTCCTCCTCAGAGGCAGGAGACACACTCTCTCACTCTCTCTGCTCACTTCCTGGGAGACATTGCAGTTGACAAGCCATACGAAGACAGGATGGTGGCAGTCAGGGCCTCAGACGGGATAAGCCACGTGGAGACCCCTGTCAATGCAGAGACGCTTACACCGCCATTGGATCCACAAGACTTTCCACCCACCGGCCTGTGGTCATCCTGCATTCGGCATCATTGCATGTGTCTCCTGAGTCTGAAGAGGAATTTATAGGTTGGTATCGGACATATGGGGCAATGCCGGACTTTTGGACTTGATCTGGACCGGGCTGGGACATTTTCTCAATATACAATTACACTTCTTATAAAGCTCTTTCTTATACACATATGAGAGTCCGTGAACTTGTTTCTCTAGTCTACCTGGACTAACACACCTAGTGAGAACTGTAATACGACTGAAAAGGGGGCTCCAAACTGAGTTTAAATGAACACTAACATTCAAGGGATGACCAATGGGTGAAGACAGGTAATGACGAAGCAGCGGGAGCAATCAGAATTCAGGAAATCCAATGGCTGAATATCAGAGGAGAGGCGATCTCAAGCAGGCAGTAGTAGTCAATAGCATCAAAACTTTTTTTTTTTCCTGATGAGAGTATATTTCTTGTAGTGAAATAATTCTGATTTCCACTTGTGACGTACCCACTTTAAGTAGTCAAATACATTGAGCAAGCCCTTTTTGCCCCTTTCTACAACTTTTAATAAACCCTTAAAAGGAAGCTGAGTGTAATTGTCTGGGGCATTCTGGTTCCTCGCCATAATGTTACAAGAGCACCAGAGCAGGGTGACCCTTGGAAAGCAAGATCTAAAGGATGCCAAGGAAAGCACCTGGCGCAAGTAGGGAAGTATGGATGGAAGTCCATCTGTTACCTGTAAAACCAACTGGGCAGGTGCACTCATAGGTATCCCGGCTGAGCATGTGGCAGGTGCCTCCGTTCAGGCAGGGGCGAGACATAAAGCACGGGTGAGAGGTGGAGTACTGGCAGTCCTCGCCTGTGAAGCCCGGGGCACATCGACATGTGGCTTTCCCCAACATGGCCTGGGCCACGCAGGTCCCACCATTCTGGCAGCGATTCTTCTCACAGGGGTCTCGGTGTTGGCAGTATTCTCCCAAGAAGCCCTCAGGGCAGCTGTACAGAAAAGGGAGGAAGAGTTCATGAAAACACCTGACTTCTTTTATGTGCAAGAACTTACAGATAAAAGTACTTATGCATGCAGCCCATTCAAAATAACACTAGACGGAGTCAAGGGAGCTAAAGGCACAACACCTGTAAAGCTCCCTAACTCTGACAGAAGATGTGCTTAAGGAACGTAATCGCCTACTTCCATGCCTTGTCAGGGGACAGAATACCAAGTGGGTGATCCAGCAAGGCCAACTGCCACGACCCTTACTCAAAGCAGAAGACAACCACAGCATTGTTCATGTAGGTACAGGCTGGTGTGGTGTAACAGCAACTTTTGTAGATCATTGTTCATACTTGTCTGCTTACATTCATTAACATTTTCATTTTGACTAAGCCATTTGAAAGAATTAAGACATTTCATATAGCACATAAATTAAAATATATGATACAATTTTGTTTTCTCTCACACATTGGGAAATAAAAAGTTCTTCTTTCTCTTGTTTCCAACGAAACATGAATTGGCCTATATCTCGCTCTCTGGGCTATGTTCCAGTGACTGAGATGAGATAGAGAAAGAGGAAGGAGGTACAAAAATAGGGAAGGCTTCAATGGGGCATTTTGATCGCTATCAACGTGTAAGTAGCAGGCAGCTTTTCTAACCAAATCAAAGGGCACAGAACAGAACTAAAATTACACAAAGCAGCGCAAAACCTGTAACTGTCTAGTCAATTTCAACCCATGACAGTCCCATGTGTCGGAGTAGAACTGTGCCTGGTTTTCCATGGCTGAGTTTCTGGAAGTCGATCGTCACGCCTTCTGAGGGGGCCTGGCAGGACTTGACCCTTCAATCTTTTGGTCACCCGTCGAATGTGTTAACCATTTGCACTACACTCAGGGACTTCTCAGAGATCCGAGATACCATATGATCATCAAAATGAAGGAAGAAAGACAATTCAAAAATAACATTCAATAACATTTTCCACATTCTACCTGGGGCTCTAAGGAATCTTTTCAGATGCCATACCTTGAGCCATAAGATACAAAATCATTTTGTATATTATTTATGTACATTTATGACTATTTTCTCCAAACAATATAAAAAAAACCTGAGAAATTTGCATTCTCCTAACAAAAAGGTTGTTCAATGGAATTCCTAAGAGGCACTATAAATTCTGCCTTTTGATTGCCCTGGATATTTGGTTGAACCCTTTTCTCAATTATCTTATCTAAATGGTAGAAAAATAAATCTACAGGGCTATTTCGTCATTACCTCAAAATCAGCACACTTAAACCCAATTATCCTCCCAATTCAAAACCTGTTGTTCGAATCTTCTTCCCGTGCCCAAGCACTGGTGTCCTGATTCTGTGAACCACCCAGACTGGAGGACTGGGGTCACGTTTTACTCCTGCCTAACTTTTCCAACGTCTTTCATTTACCATCAATTGGCAAGGTGAAGTCTTTGGGGGCCATAGTTATTGAGAAAAGAAAGAGGGCTAGAAATTAGGACGCCGAGGCAGAACATGCCCAAAGAAATTATATAGTGCTTAAAATGGCTGGAAGACTGAACACAGTTGGTAGTGATGTAACTGGCCACAGCCTTCTCACTCCTTCCCAGAGCTGTACACAGTGTGGCCGGACCAGCAGCAACTAGGGCTCTGAGTAGGTGGGATCAGAGACCAAGAGCCAGGGAGGAGTCCACAGCACTGAACTCGGGACTGGCTGAACTTGACAGTCACAGAGTGTGCACCTCAGGAAGCCAGAGGTCTTGGGAGTCCTGGGACTGCGACTCTGGACAAGTTACTTCCCTCACTTACTGACTGTTAATTTCTTAGTCTAGCTAAGAAATCTACCTATACATCGTGGGGTTGTTGTGGGAATTAACAAAACCAATTATGTGGAAAAGTGATACATACCCAAAACCTTGGTAGAGAGAAAACATTTTTCTCTCCTCTTTGTGTTTATTGAGGAAAATACGATGCCTTTTTTAAAAAAACACAGCTCGATTTGATAATAGAATCATTTTTGTTGTTGTTTTTTAAATAGCAAAAACGTCCAATGAAGTAAAAAGCATTGCTAAAATTAACCATGAGCTATATTATTGAAAGCATTTGCAGCTTACTCAAGAAATCTGTTATGGATGATATTAAAAACTGCAACACAATTCTCCTTCACAATGACAGTCGTCCTCTGGGCATTAGGCCTGGCAGATGACTCCATTATCCCATATGGGAATTATTCACCTTGGAAATAACAGCTAACTTTTAATCCTGGGTGGGCTTTGCCTGGCTTCACTCCTGGACCATGATTCTACCCCCAACACACACTATTATCATGTACATCTGCTTAGAGAATGCAAACCCATTTTAATATTAGGAGAATAAACACGAAATGAAAACCTAAAGTTCCCAGGATACTGAAGCCAAACATAAGTATTCCTGAAGTTTAATCTACATTGGTGTTCTCTACGAAGTATGGGAAAATACAACCTGTGAATCTAATCTGGCCCACTGCCTGTTTCTGCATGGTCCATGAGCTGAGAATGGCTTTTACATTTCTAATGCTGGGAGGAAAAAACCAATCAGAAGATGGACACTCTTTTTCATGTCACTATTTTTTATGTCATCATACAAACTTAGACAAAGAATGTTAAGCTTGTAATCAATCCTTCATTCACTCAATGTTTTTAATATGAGGAAAATCCCTGCTCATGAAATTTAGTAATGGAAGACAAATTAAATTAAAAATGTCAGAGTTGAGTGCTGTAAAGAAAAATAAGATAAGAGACAGGGATAGGAAAGGATGGGTGAGGGACACTGGGGAAGGTAAAAGAAAGATATTTCCATTTAAAATAGGAAAATAAGGGCAGGTCTCACTGAGAAGGGAACAGTTGAGTTTAGGCCCAACTGAGGACTAGTCACGCGGGTACCTGGGGGAAGCATGTCCAAAGTAGGAGAAACAGCGAAGGCCCAAGAGAGCAGTACTGGCATCTCGAGGGAGAGCCTTGAGACCCAAGCGACCCACCGACCCTAAACCCAGGATTGTGGAGTGGATCCTGACTCCTACTGGCCCCACAGGGCAGAACAGAACCGCTCCCAGGAGAGCGTCAAGGCTGTACATCGTGAAGGGACCGGCCTGCCCCCGCTCTCTCCTGAGCAGTGGCTGGTGGGTTCAGACTGTAGACCTCTTGGTTAGCAGCCAAATGCTTAATGGCAGTGCCTTCAGCTATCCCACAATGGCTGGGAAAGAGAGAAGCAGGAAACTGAAGAGAACTGTCACTGGGAACCCAGATCATGTGGGGTCATGAGGTCACCGTGAACATTTAGTATTTTACTCAAGTGAGATGATACTTTGATGTGATATATAACTGACTTCCTCTCCTAAAACCCATGTGCAGACTGCATTATATCTTTAATAAAACCGGGCCCATTCTTGGTATAATGAAAACGGCTTCTTATCTTAAATGTTCTGTAGCAGCTGAGGCTTCAGGCTAGTCATCTATTTTACCTTCAAAAGTGCACAAGTCTCCCTTAACCTAAACTCTCCCCAATGATTCTTTCATAGTCAAGCATCGATTACTGTAGCCTAATTTTATAGCTCTTTCTTTTCCATCCATTTCTTACTTGTCCCTTTGTAATATGCCATACTAAGTGCAATGATTTTTCTTCTTGCCAGGTCCAATGGTCTCAGCTGAGATTTCATCATTATCTGTCCTATAGGAGATGTGAGAGGAGAGAGAATTTCTTTAGGATGAAAGTCTCACGTGAGATATAAGGACAATTTCATTGGTTGTGAACTGGGTTCAGCACTAGGCTGCTTTACCACAAGGGCTGTGGGTCGAACCCACTGAATGATGTGTGGGGAAAGATGAGCCTGTCCGCTCCTGTGAGAACGCGCTCTCCAACCATGCAGAGCAGTTCTGTTCTGCTCAACAGAATCAGAACGGACCCAATGGCTGTGTGCTTTCTTTCTTTTTTTTTAATATGAGAGAGATGGGATTCAAATCAACCAGCTGCTCCACTGGAACCAGGTGTAGCACCCTACCTCTGCAAAGACAGCAGTCTCAGAAACCCTATAGGCAGTTCTACTGTCTATAAGGTTACTGAAAATCAGAATTGATTTGATGGCAGTGGGTCTGGTCTGGGGACTTATTCCCATAGGGTCAGTTTTATAAAAGCCACCAATCTGCATCTATGTCCTAAAACACTTGAAACTAAACAGTTGAAAAATGAGATCATTTTCCCCAGGAAACTTCGACTCCTGCATTTTTCTAAGATTCCCACTTACGATCTCAAAACCAGTTTTGGTTAATCTCTCTAACTTATATATAATCTGTTACCAAGTTCTGACAAGTCTTGTCAACTGAATTCCTGCTATGCGTATCCATTATTTCTACACTTTCCTTTTGACACAAATTTTGAACATCTTAAAAGCCCTTCATTGCCAGACATCTTGTTGCTGGATCCCCCACCCACCCACCACCCACCCCTCCTCCTTACTTCCATTCATTCTTGGAATAACAGAACCTTAGGACTCAGAGTCACTAAAGTAATTTCACGAAAATAACCCTGTAAGCTGATCACCAACTTCTGCTTAAATATGAGTACTTAGCACGGTGCCTGGCAAAGAAGAAGAAGGAACTTAATAAATGCTTGAGGTTGTTGTTCTTGCAATTAACGGTACAGACTCTAGAAGCAGGCCAGGTGGCTTTGAATTCCAGCTCTACCATTTACTAGCTGTGGAACCCCAAGCAAGTCACTAAACCTCCCTGTTATAAAATAGATTTAAGAGTGCCTACCTCCCAAAATTTTATGTGATGAAAATAATTGTAAAGTACTTAGAACAGTGCATCACATAATAAACACCATGCATTTGTTAAGTAAAATAAGATCACTGGCTTGATATTTCAAAAACAGGGCAGTCTTTTATGTGGGTTGATCCCATGTTCAGAAAACGTTGTCTTTCTGAATCCTTAAAAGTCTGCGCTCCTCCTAGGTATACAAACAAA